CCCCAAAACCCCAAAACCCCAAAACCCCAAAACCCCTCAAGGATAAAATTATATATTTTATGAGAGATAAAAATATATCTAATATTAATCATTCGGACTTAAAAAATATGAATAGAGAAAAATCCTCATCATCCTCAAGTTATTCTAAATACAAGGATTCTACGGAAAATAATTTATAGAGACAACCCAGTTTGTATTCCAAAGCAAAAGAGGCTTGGGAGGACTTACTTCCTAAAACTGCTTATGAATACTTGAAGCATGTAACAATGACAATCGAAACTACAGGTAAGAGAATATTCTATTTTATTAAAGTTAACGCATTGTAATTTATTTAATTTCTTATTATAGATATCTACCAGATTCATAAAATCTTCAAATTTAAAGAGGGGAGCTCCTTCGCTAATGACTATGTGTGTCTTGTCTTGAAAGTGATACCTAAGTAACTAATAGATTTCTATGGCGGCTAATACCTATTCTAAATATGGAAAAATAAGGAGAGATTATTCTAGCATGCTCATCAAAGTAAGGATATTGTCATCATTAATATTTTTTTAGGTTAAGTATGTTAATTTTATGGAACCAAAACTGAGATCGTTTACTTAACTGAAGGAGAGAGATAGAATATCATAATAATCAGACCTTACTTAAACTAACAGCTTGAGATAGTTAATCCTTTTTTCAATTCAGAAGGAGTGAAACTATTTGTAAACGATGAATACCTTATTGTCTCTCAAGAAAATAAACTGATGGGAATCAGCTTGGAATAAATCCTAGAAATGAACAATGTAGTCTACACAGATCCTCTAGTGGAATATGAAAATGAATTTGAAAATATGTTGTCTCTAAACGAATCAGGGTCATCTAATTCAAGTCTCCTAAGAGGTGTAAGTTTAATTAACCAAATTTTTATACTCAAATCTAAATTTAATTTTTAGACTGCTTAGTACAAATCAGGCATGAATATAAATCTAAAATCCTTTCAGGATTAAGATTAAACTAGAAGCGAAGATGAAATTTAACGAACCAACTTTATTTAATTTATGAGAGCTGAGATTTAGCCTGACTTAACAATCTTAGCAGTTGACTATGATCTAAGGCTGGGTCACAACATCATGGTTTATGCTTCAAATAAAAGCAAAGTTGAAATAATAATATATGAGCTTAAGGTCTAAGAAGAATAAATCTAGGTTACTAAAATCTGTGACCATCTTATTAAATAATTAGAAGATCAGAATGATTCAATAATCAGTATTCAAATGATTAGAAAAAATATGTCCTACTTTATATCAGGGTTCATTACTAGGAAAGGAAAAGTGTTTTTCTTGATGAACTTGGAACACAAGTACTCTCACATTGAGGAAACGTTTCAAAATAATCATAAATCTAACTTCAAAGAAATATATTTTGGAACAGAGGGGATTTATCTCTATGATTAAAACAGTTAATAAAGTCCGAAGATTAAATATGATTCTCTATTTGATAAACATAGAATAACTAACATTGAAATGACTAATGGTTATCTACTCTCCATTATGAAGGAAAAATTCACTCGACTTCATGGTAATACCAAATTCATTTGCTAATTGTGTATTTAGTTGATATGTTTAGAGATGTAAAAATACTAAACCAAATTCTACTAATAGCTCATGGAAAGATCCTAAGTATATACTTTGTAGGACTTAGCTAATGGTTGCATTACATCTCTTAAAAACGTCAAACCGTAGAAGTTTTTGATAGACAGTAGTTAGAATATGACAAAAGAGAAAACTATTTCGGCAGATAGGAAAATGAAATCATGTCAATCAATTTCATGAATATCAATCATAATCAAGTCTATGATATTCTGGCTTAATATGAAGGAAAATACATGACTAAACTTATTTTGTACGAGCTTTAGGCTAAAATAATACCTATCAAAAGCCAAATTTGCAATAGCCTATGTAAGTTCACTGGAAAATAAAATACATAAGCTCACAAATTTTCTCAATTTTTAACTTAACTGTTTATAATAGATACAATTGATCACGTGATGACCTAATGTGACTATCTCAAGTTCAGAGAATATGGTGGATGCAAAATGACTATTATGTTTTAGGGCTAGAAAAATGACAAGCCTGAAAGAAGCATAATCTTTGGATCTAATGAAAATTCAAGAATCGTTGAAATTGTTAATGATATAGACTATAGATATCGCTTAGTGAGTGTTCCATCTGCCTCTGTAAATATGCTATTCTTAGCAGATACTATCTCAAAGTCTTTGATGGTATTCAGTTTAAGTGATGTTAATCAGGTTCTTGATTAAAAAGACCTTTGGGACTATCTGACTCTTAAGGTAGAAAATTTCGATTACTTATCTTGCAACTCTTATTTCCTAGGTAAAGAAAACAAAAATTAATATTTTTATAGATTCAGGAAATCTGTATTATCTACATGAGGGTAATATGGTTGAGATCAATTTAAATTCAGGGAAGAAGTTCACATTCGATTTCAAGGGTAATATTAAAGCTTTGCTAGTGATAGAAGGTAAAAGTGTTTACTTGAGATGTCACGGAGATTTCTTGTACTATTTTGACTTAGATTGGATTTTCAACAAAGAAATCGAAGAAATTTATGAAAACTCTGATAGAATGCTTATATCTGACCGTTATGCTAAACTTGTATGGTCTCCTATTGTTGATTGTGAAAGTTTATTGATTTATAAATTTGAGTTCGATATTTTAGCAAATAAAATAGCTACTTTTTCATCACCTTGGACTATCTAAATTTTCAATCCTATGAATTAAGCTAAGACAGATTTGATTGCATCTCATGATTTTTGTCATAGATTCTTAACATTCAATGTTCACAAGAACTCTCCTTCTACTTATTTAAATACTGTAGTAGCTCTTGATAATTAGAGAAATGAACTCAAAATTTGGAGTAGTGGAACTGGTTTTTTAAAAGATAGAGTTAGCATTAAAAATCATGATTACAAAGGTTTTTAATTTTTAAACTATTGGGGCAATTAGTCTTTGATTTTCAAGGTAATTTTTAATGGATCTAAAGTTACTTTTTTGCTGAAGAAGATTGAAGTAAGCGAGAACGGAATAGATGAGAAAGCTAGTTTTTATCATACTTTAGATCGAATGAATAGGTATTTTGTATCTATTGATAACAAACTCTTATTAGAGATTAAAACATTGCAGCATATTTATACTGTATATCTAATATAGAATGAGAAAGTTGAAAAAATATAAGACCTGCATATAAATTTAAATGTGCCAGTCCCCTTATTTTTTTCACCAGACTTCTCTACATATATTGACTATAATGATTAATTGAAAGAATTACAATTATATCAGCTAAAAAGAAATTCAGAAGATGAGGGTTATAGTACTCTTCATAAATATTAAAGAGTTGAAATTTCAAATCAGATTGATATAAATGATATAATGTTCTGTGGAAAGACTCATGTTCCATTCATAAATCTAGAGAGTAATGATAGGATCACTTATTTCACAAAGATGATGTCTATTTAGAGTATTCCACTTTTCTAGATTGCAAAAGATAATAAGCACCTTATAGATGAAACTTTCATCCAAGCAGAATCAATGGCTATGTTCCAAAGAACTCTAAATGCTCCAAGAGATATGGTTTTAGCTTCATTAACATCAGAAGAAACTATTTAGTTAACCTAAGATCTTAAAAAAAGATTTTTTGTACACAATGGTAAGTTTGCTGCAATGAATCAAAGCTTTGACACTTTCATTTTGGGCAATTTGAGAACAGTATAAAGTTTTACATTTTATCACTGGAGAGTGATTGATCTACTTGAAAATGATTAACTAGATATTGAGCATCTCAGCGTTGAAGTTATCTAAGAGTTATTGAATGTTGTCCTACCAAATGGTGATACAATGATTCATATCCTTATTAAATCTAATATAGCCTAATTTGAAAAGCTATTGAAAGTCATTGAAAATGCCAGAGCTGAAGGAAATACTGAAATTAAACTACATTTCATGCCAAATCTCTTAGGAATTACTCCTCTTCATCTGTGCATAAAAAATCAATACTCAAAAGCTGCAGGGTCTATACTAATGGAAATTGGAAATAATGCTCTTGATGATCATGTCAAATTTATTAAGAATACTTTTGCTGATTTACTAGTTATCTGTCCTTTAGCTCTTGGAGATTATCTTGATATGAGACTAATAACTCCTCCTTGGGCTTTAACATATACGAAAGGTCATTTAATAAAGGTTAATGGCAGTGATTTCGCAGTTTTGCCTAGTAATTTGAGACCTATAGACGAGGAGGAACTCAATCAATAATTATTCTAGCAAGATGATGGTGATGAAGACAAAGATGTAAGAATGCCTATGATATTTCAAATAGCAGATTTACCATGCTTCCATCATTTTAATTGCGAGTAAAGCATGCAATTCTTAAAATAATTATCTCTTTCCCATGATGTGGAAACTCTTTTTGGAAGAAAATACATTTAAGCTATGCTGGAGATGAGATTACCATTGATTAGAAGGGCTATTGTCTTTAAAGTATTTCTTCCCTATCTGATTTATTTAATCTTGTTCAGTGTTTACTCCTAATTCTTGATGTTTAACGATGATATGACAAGTTTTGTTTTCTCAAATATTATTGAATTCATGATGATAGTAAAGACAATATTTTTCCTTCTAAATACAAAGAAGCAGTTTAACAACCTAGAGCAAAACATCTATACTTGCAAGATGTGGAATTACTTTGACATATTCCCAAAATTCCTAGTAATTATATCTATTATTCTAAAGTTTTTTGATGATGTTGGGGCACTCACTGTGTAAAGTGAGATAAATGTTTTAAATTCTTTTGCTTCATTCTCCCTCTGGATTAACCTACTTTACTTTTGCAGAATTTTCCGTAGAACAGGGCATTTAATTCAGATGATTATAGAAGTAGTAAAGGATATGAAGTATTTCCTTGGCATAGTATTCTTGACTCTAATGTCATTTAGTGGCGCCTTCTTTATTTTGAGCAAGAACAATGATGACACAAAAGAATTTATCACATCTTTTTTTGAATCAAACGCTTTTGTGTACAGGTTAATTCTTGGAGATTTTGATACCACTAATTTTGGAGAAAAATATGTTGTCATTGTATGGATGTTCTTTATGCTAGCTACACTATTTCTAATTATCATTATGTTGAACTTGCTTATTGCGATTATATCTGACACGTTTGAAAGAGTCCAAGGATAGGCAAAGTAGCGAATGTACAAGGAATTCGCATAATTAATTATTGAAAATATTCACTTGCTTTCTGAGGAGGAAAAAACAGCTTATGATTAGAAAGGATAATACTTGTACATCGCTTCCCTAGAGATTGATGAAAACAGTAGTTCTGATATCTGGGAGGGTAAGATCTCGGAAATCAAGAAACTAATTTTGAAGAAAACAGATTAAATGACTGAGACTCTTGAATGTAATATAAAACATAAAAGCAAAAATATTGATTAGAACAGTCAAATGCTAAAGAAAATTAACGCTAATATGGTCTCTCTTAAAATCTAAATGAAAAACAATCTTGACTAATAGATAAAATCCCTATAAGATAAGCACTAATCTGATGTGAGTTTATTGAAGAATTAACTTGATAAAATCACCTTAATGATGGAGGCTTAGGTTTAGGAAAAAAAGAAAAAATCCTCAAATATATTCAGCAGTATGCTGCCTTCATCTAGGTCTGAGATTAAAAAGTTCTGATTAGATTTCCCCTAAATCTAATCAATTATTAACTGAATTTATTTATCCTAAAAAATTTTATTAAAATGATTAATTTTGATTGATGGGGTTTTGGGGTTTTGGGGTTTTGGGG